AATATTATCATGAACGTAAACAACAAAATGTATTCCCTGGAAATAAGATGAGGTGTACCTAATTAAACGCGATCGATGAACTTACTTGTTGTGCTGCTGCCCGAACAAAACCTCTATTAGCTGTCATTGTTACTGCACGTAAATGATCTCCGGTACCGAAAATTATTTTTGTTCTAGAAAATACAAAAACAAGTTGTATTAGATAGAATTTCATTATACTAATCAAACCTAGGTTTTATTTTAACACTTGCTTGTAAAACAGCCGATCTTTCTGATAGACAATCAGGAACAATAGTAAGCTAAATATAAATGATAATAATAAATTATATATTACAAATAGAGATATGCAGGATTAAACTTTTATTAGTATCGAATCTAGTTTACGAGGAGTGGTTTTCAAGTGATAAATCACTTTTGAGTCAGAATAATATAGATTCTAATGAGCTTTGAATATCCTGAAAAGATTTATTGCTATTAGCTTAGTGCTGGCGAGATACTGAATAGTTTCGATTTCTTTTAATACAATACTGTGGTCTTTCTCAGAATGTTCCTTTCTTTTTTTGTCATGGCTCCTGAATTTCGCTTTAATTGATATGATTAATAATATACTTCGACAAAAAAAAATCATAGAAAATTTAACTACAATTTTCAGTTTCGATTCAAACAACTTTTTTTTCTCGTGATTCAGATCTCACAAGGTAGCATATTCAACTATCGGACATTGTTTGATTTCATATAATGGCCATAAGTAGGTCCTTGTGAGACTAAGAAAAGCTTGCAAAGATTCAGACTCATGGCCAACTGATGCAGAGTTATATCCGTTTTAATGAAATTTTTACAAAGAACAAGGTATTTCCGAAAAGCTCGAAACAAAGATTTTCGAGCTGAAATTTTGTCTAGAAGCAGATCTAATAGTTATTATATAGTTTAGAAAAATTTAAGGAAAAGTTCGTTTTCTTTGAAATTTTCTAGGCTATATAATGACTATTATATCTACCTATAAACAAAATTTCAGTTCAAAAATCTTCGTTTTGAGCTTTTCGGAAATACCTTGCTCTAAGTAAAAATTTCATGAAAATAGACATAATTCTGCATTAGTTGGCCATCAATCCGAATCCTTTAAATTATAATCTAAACTAAAACTGATCCTGCACATCTTTTATTACAAAAAGTTCATATACTCGTTTAAATAGTTCCTCTGCTCGTTTTTTTTCATTAGGTCCGCCAACTGTATTAATAATTGAATTAAATTCTTCAAATGCTGTTTGACATATAAATAATTCTTTTCCTATTCATAAAACACCAAAGCAAAAAGAATATATGAATTTAAAAGAAATAAGAAAATGAAAAAAAAATCAATACCTTTCATATAATTTTCTAGTTTCGGTGCAAGACGTTCAGCTCGTTCTAATTCAGCTGGTACTTCAAGCCATTTACTTGGATATCGATATATATGACCACCATGTGTTAATTCCGAAACAAGACAAATTAATGTACTAACATCAAGATTTATTTTACTTGGTTCATGTGATAACATTAATTCTGTATCATTATTATTATTATTAACTTCATCATCATTATTATTATCATCATCATCATCATCATCAGTTTCACTTTCACTTTCTTCATCACTATCATTTGAACTAACATCATCAACGATTTGTAAACGTTTTTCAACGTCTTCATTTACTTCAACAATTGAACCCTAAAGCAAAATTGATTTTTTATTTTTGTTTTCAAACTTAAATTATATATTCTATTTAATTCATAATTACTTTGACTATAATACCATGTTTTTTTAATAAATTAGCTAATGGTTCTGTAACACCTTGTACAAAATAAAAGACAATATCTGGTGTTTGATAATGTATTTCATTAGAACGTGCTGTATCAAGATATTGTCTCATTGATATAAGAATACTTCGTTGTCCATAATGACCATTGCCCTAATTATTTAATTAGAAAAAGAAAAAAACAATGTGTCTAAGACGAATTTTTTTGTTTAGAAGATTTTTTACTTTCCAAATAAGATGAAGTGCTTGTGCATTTCTAGCAATTACTTTCATCCATGCTCGACCTTCATTATAAACTAATTCACAAATAAGTAATTGAGAACGATTATCTTTAAATGGTACTAAAACCTATATTAATTAATTTTAATCATATGTTTGTTTTTTTTTTTAAATATGAATAATAATATTAACTTACTCCATTAACATTTTCCGGACCAATTTCTTCAATTTGTTCAAGAACAGCTCGTAAATGAGTTAAATTTGAACTTTTTAAATGATTAACATTAACATCAGTTGTATCAGCGCGAAGCTAGAAATTAGATTTTTTTTTCAATATTTAATCCGGAGATAAAGATATATATAGAAATTTTGCTTATATAATTATGATGACTAAGATCTTTTTCTTTTTGTAATGTTCCTAATCTACACTTATCATATAGATATGCAAAGGTTGATCTTAACTACGAAGGTCAATGTTGTATATCAACTAGTTATTATTATTATTATTATTATTATTATTATTATTATTTGTAAATGTATGTAAAAAATAAAAAGTAAAATTCTTGAAATTTTTTGATTTTTCATATATGTAATTAATTTCTATTCATTAAATAAATATATATATATATATATTTATTTTTATATGATAAATAAAAATTAATTTAAAAAGAAAAGAATAAAATATAAAATACATACACGTTTTAGAAATCTATCTTCGGCACGAAATTTTCTTTCAAGTTTACCAATTCCAGGTATTTTATTATATGTTCGACATTTTTCTATACATAATCGAACATCATTTAATAATGTATCTAATATAATAATAATATTTGCATCATCATTGTTAGTTGTTCTTAAATCTGTCATCTGAAAAAAACACAAGGTCAATAAGAAAAAAACAATTATCACAAGCAGAATAGAAAAAATTTCGTTCTATACTGACAGAGCACGTTATGTCAACGTGATTCGACAAATATATAGCTATATATATGCAACTTTGTATTTTCGTATAAAACACACCAAAATGACCGTTTATATTATTCATGAAAATGATGTATGGTTACCTCCATTTCGAAAGGCATTTGAAAAGCTTCAATTACCTTTTATCGAATGGAATTTAAGTGGAACACATACTTATTCATTAAATAAACCGCCTGATGATGATGCAATTTATTTTAATCGTATTTCACCATCCTCACATACTCGTAATCATCGTTTTTCCTGTGAAATTACAGGTCAAGTTCTCGATTATCTTTCATTACATTCATGTCGAATTATTAATGATCAACGAGCTCTAACACTTGAATTATCTAAAGTAAAACAATATGTTGAATTAACAAAAAGTCATATTCGTGTACCACATACAGCATTTATTGCAAGTGCAACATCAATTAATCAACAAGAATCAAAAATAAAAGAAAATTTTATTGAAACATTAAAAAAAACTGCACGAGAAAATTTTTTTAATGAAACAACACAAATATGGACACCATTTATTAGTAAACATAATCGAGCAGGAAAAGGACTTGGTGTTCATTTATTTATTGATGATAAACAACTTGAAAAACAATTTGAAAATTCAATAAATAATAATATTGATGATGAATTTTCTGTTGATGGTATTTATCTTTTACAAGAATATATTAAATCACCACAACAAGTTATTAATCGTGCAGAATTTATTGGTTATAAATTAATGTATGTTATTGAAGTTGATACACGACAAGGTTTTCAATTATGTCCAAGTGATGCATGTCGAAAAACACTTGATGATAAATTAGTTAAACAAAGTACTGATGAAATCAAACATGGATTTAATATACGATCAAATGATTCATTTACTGATAATGAAAAAAAAATTATTAAACAATTAGAAAATTTTTTACAAGAACGACAAATTGAAGTAGCTGGAATTGAATGGGTTGATGATGGAACAAATATTTATGTTTATGATGTTAATTGTAATACAAATTATAATGTTGCTGCTGAAACAAGATTTTTTGGGGATATGTATGGGACAATTAAATTAGGTGAATATTTTCAAAAACAATTACGAAAAGACTAATAAAAATAAAAATAAAAAATAAAAAAATAAAAACTAATAATTGATTCGAACTATGTTTATTTGTTGTTGACGTTCTTTTTATATTATCATCAAGTCTTGACAAGCGAATACACGCGCGCACACACGCACACAAAGACAAAGACAGCACGAGAAAAAAGAGAAAGAAAATGAATGAGCTTGCATCGAATATAGAGCATAAAAATCCGAATACAAAAAGAAAAAAAGAAAAAGAAAAAAAAAAACAAAGAAATGAAGCAGAAGAACAACGAAGAATCGCACACACTCGTTGATTTTATATACAATTCTTTTTTTTTTTTTTTGCTGTTAACAAAAAAAAAGAAAACATATGAAGTAATTTGAACGAACATACACACATACATAGGCGTATGGCACATACACCACTAGAAAAAGAAAAAAAAAAAAAAAGAACCAACAATAGACAAAAGATCTTCCACACACACGTAATTGTCATCAGACAAAAAGAAAATTAAAGACCAAAAAAAATTCAAGAATCAATTATGTTTAGTTGGGTGGAATGGTATAGCGAGGTTATAAACTCGTTTCTTTTTTTTTATTTTGCGAAGAAAAACAAATCATAACTCTACGAAAAAAAGAAAAAGTATACATTCAACACTGTGTATATATATATATATGTGTATGTGTGTGTCATTTAATAGTTAAGTGATTAGCTTTTAAGAACAAAAAGAAAAAAATTTTCGTTTTATATTCAACAAGTACATATAGGCTTTTTTTTGTGTTTTCATTCAATATACACATTCAGGGATATGAAGACAAAAAAAAAAGAAAAAGAAAAAGGAACGACCTGATTAGAGAAAATAAACAATAATAAAGGATGATATACACACATGCGTTCATTCAATCACTGTTATCAACGGCCGGATATTAACTTTTTAAAAAATATTTTAAGATGATAAACCAGTTGACGAACCATCTAAAATTAATAAAAAAAAAGAAATTATCTCATATATAAATTTTTTTAATAATAATAATTTCTACCATATGAATTTTGTATATTTGTTGTTGATGTTGTCATTTGTGTTAAATTTGTTTCACATCTTCTCATATCATATTGTGTTTGTTGTTGTGTACAATAAATATTCGATGTTGATGATGAACTATCCGATTGTTGTTGTTGAGGATAATAATGATTTGATAATACACCATTAACTTTCATTTTATAATTATTTGAATGATCAACATATGTTGACCATGAATCATGATGATGATGATAATTATGTATATCATTACTAATACCATTTGATAATGTTGTATTATTATTATCCATTGTTGATGAAGTTTGATACGGATGAGGAGGAGGAGGAGGAGGAGGTTTACCACCTAAAAAAATAAACAAAATAAGATCTTTATTTTATTCTTTTATTTCATTTAACTGTTTAAATAAGTGGGAGGATGTGTTGGTGAAATACTGTTTGGATATGTTAATCGTCCATAATTATTCGTTGATGTTGGTGGTTGTCGATGAAGAATTTGTGGAGTTTGTTGTTGTTGTTGTGATATATAATGACCAATAGGATGTCCAATTGTGGATGGTGGTTGCATGAGATTAACAGTTGTTAAAGAAGTTTTATATGAATAATTATTTAAATTTGAATAATTTTGTTGATCATTACCATTTTCTAATTTGACACGTTTATGTCTATGATCATCAGTTTTATTATCATATGAAAAATTATTTGTTGAAGGTGGTGGAGGAACAGTTGATTCAAGAGAATCAATTGGAATTTTTGTTGTTGCTGTTGTTGTTGTTGATGATGATGATAACATAGATAAATCTTTACCTGTAAAAACAAAAAGAAAAAAAACAATTTCGTATTTTTAAAAAATAACAATTTAAAACATACTGTTCGTTGTTGGATTAGTTGTTGTTGATGCATTATTATTATTATTATTAGTATTAGTATTATTATTGCTATTAACTACAATAGCATTCGATTGTCCAACAATTTCCACACTAAGTATTCCGAGTTCGATGAGGCGTACATTTCCTTGTATAGCAAGTAAATGTAACTGATCAGCTGCCTCTTTCGGAATATCAAAAGTAACTTTAACACTATTCCACGGCTGCACTTTTTTTAATGCAAATCTTCTTCGACCTAAATATGAATCATCAAAAAAAAAAAAGAAAAAATTTTTTTTACCAGTGTGAAGTATTTCCCTTAATTTATCTTTAATTTCATGCAATTTTATTTTTAATTGCGGATCAAGATAATCAGCTTTACATACAATTCGAATTTCAACAAATTCATGTGGTGCCATAGGTTTTTTAACATTGCTGATTGAAAGAAAAAAAACACATGACAATCAACAAATATGTAAACAACCAAAAAAAAAAAATGAATCAAATTCTAATATACCTTAGATTACCGGAAATAGAAAAAGCATCGATCTAGAATAATAAATATTAAATGTTTATGAGTTCTTTCATCACATTTAATTGTATTGGTAATTAACAAATAATGATTAGCATAGAAACGAATAAGAATAAATTGATGATTGATTAAATGTTGATTGGCTCTTTTGAATAGCCACTGGCCAGAATGAAAAAGTATTCAATTTTAAACCAATTAATTTTCTGTATCGAATTCTCTATACTTGATTTTATAATGCGAAATTGTTTTTTTTTTTTGAATTTATAAAAATTTATCTATTCTATAAAAATTTATATTAAATATTAATAATAAATATTTAATTAGTAAGAAATATTTATTAATTATTTTTTTTTTCTTAAAAATTCATTATATTTTGTAGATGTCATTAGTAAATTTAAAAACATCTATTCATAGTGAGTCGTATGCATCTTGATAAAAAAGAAAAACGAGTTTTATTATTATCATATTATTACAAAGATTAAAAGACATTTCTTTCATGCAATTATTAGCATACTTACTTCTCATCAACGACATCTATAGGAGATTTTCAAGCTCATGACATATAATCAAAACCGAAAAAAGAAACATAATTATAATATGTTCATTAAGGACATTAATATAATCTTGTCATTCTGTCAAGTACAAACACTTCAGTGCAAATTATAATGAGCAATATGTTTTCAGTCTAAAACATATATTCACAGAAATTTTCTCGTTAATAAGAAATGTTTTATTCGATTGTAAATTAATTTTAAAGTTTTTTTTTAATCGAAGAAGAATCGACTAACAAAGTGTCAGTCATCTTTATTGCAAAAAAAAGGCTTCAAAAATTGTAACGAATTCAAAACGATTTTTATTTGTTCATACATAAGCACATGAAACTCTTAAAACATTTGCCAACGTTGTTGATAAGTCTTTTTAAAGGTTTCGGATTTATTGCAATACTTGAAACATGTTTTTAAGCTTCATCTTATGCACGAAACTCTCATTAAGTTTTCTGTATTACATTAATTTTTTTTTCTTAATGTAGAGTCTCATCGTATACTACAATATATATTTTTATTAATGAAGTCTTTAAAGTTTTTTTTTTTGTTTTTTTGTATCCTTGAAAAATGACTTTGAATATTTGATCAAACGATTTTTATTTACTTTTGAGTATAGAACAATAATTCATACGTTTGAATGTTTCTTTTATTTATTTTTAATTACTTTGTAAGTTTTGAAAAAGTTCTTGACTTATGTATTCTATGAGTTGAGACTTCTAATCTAATAAAAATCTGTCATAGGTATCCTATTTTTTGCAAAATGATCCTTCTTTTTTTTTGGGAAGAAGAAAAAATCTAAAATTCGATCTAATAATCTAAATTTAGGTTCCACTGATATGTTAAGTTAAAAATATCCATTTTATACATTTAAAAAAAAAACAAAACAAAACGTTGATTTGCTTGTTGAATAATTCTTTCCTTTTTTTTTTTTTCTTAAACTTATATTACATAAATGCATAAACAAACAGAAAAAAAAAACACATAAAGAATGTTCTCATTTCTCATCCGTAATAAATATAGAGTACTCTTAAAATAAATTAATTATAATCAAAGAGTATAAAGAGACAAAAAAAAAAAAACAACCAGAAAAAAGAATAAGTTGCTTCATCTTTTTTTTTTTTACAAAAAGAAGAAGCTTAAACGAACAAGAGAATAGACAAAAAAAAAAGGAAAGAATTCACTGAAAACAACCGACAGACATATACAGAATAATATCTACATAGATGAGTCAAGAAAAAAAAAAATTTTTTTATTGTTGTTTTTTTTTCTTCTCTTCTGCGTGATAAATTATGAAGAGTTTCAATTATCTCTTCGTTGAAAAAGAAAAAATAAAAATAAAATTCATCCATGAATTTCAATAACGATCTATTTGTGATCTAAAATCAAAAACAAACAACAAAAGATTTTTAGTTTTTTATTTATCTTAATATTCTTACTTAGATTTCGATTTAACACGTTCATCAAAAAATGAAACTGTTTTATCACTATATGGTGAACCAGCACGAATAATATTTGAATGATGCGACTGTTGTTGTTGTTGTTGTTCTATACTAATAGATCGAGCATAATCAGATGCACTACTTAATAGACTTGATTTACGACCAGTAGAATCTCCATTTATATTACAAATATTATCATTATTATATTCAACACCAGGTACAGTACATGCATCTCTAAATGTATAGAAAAACAAAAACAGAATTTGATGTTGGTTCTATGGTAAAATTCAATGATGATCTTATTCAGATGATGTAGATCATACATGATCGATATTTATGCAAAAAAAAAAACAAGAATCTATTGTCATTTATCTATCATAGAAAACTTTAAGTGATAAAATTTTTATTATGAAAATATTAATTGAAATATTGTTTTTAAATAAAACGAATACAAAAAAGCTTGAATATGTCATTTTGAAAAATATATTCATGAGTTTTTCTTTTTTTTTTAATTACAAAACTTACTTAATTGAACCCGCTAATGCTTTAAGACTATCCATTGTTTTCGAAGATTTTTCACTGATTGTAATACTTTCAATATCAAAACTTTTACAATCACTAACTTCAGCTTGAACTTCAAGACTAAATTAATTGAAAAATACAAAAAAAATCATTGTTTCATGAACAAATTTTCTTTTTTTTTTTTTTTTATTTAAATCATACCGATTTGATGGTGGTAAACTTTCACAAAGTGATATAGCACCTGTACCAGGTAATGCTTTTGTACTTTCATTACTACGATCATCAACAAGATGTGCAACACTATTTGATAAACTAGTTGAATCACCACCAATTGTTGGATGTGTCATTACACTTTGTGTATCTGCAAAAAAAAATATATATTGTTTTTTTTTTGTTTTTATTTTATTTATACCATTAAGAATAGCTCTTGCAATAGCAACGTCACGTAAAGAAAATGGTAAAAAACTATCAATATTAGAATTATCACCATCTAAAATATTATTTCGTGTTCCAACACCACAACCACCTGTACGACATAATGATATTGGAATAACCTAAAATTTTCAATTTTTTTTGTTTCTTCTTCAAATTAAAAAAAAAACAACAGAAAATCTTCTTACCCCATAAACATAAGCAAGAAGAATAGGAACTCCAATTCCAACAGCAAGTGTAGCTATTATTGGTGAAGCTATTATACTTCCTGTAACACCTAATGTGACAAGGATATTTCTTTTTGTTTTACTATTTCTATTATTATTAAATTTTTTAAATATTCTTCTACCAGCCCATATTGGTACACCTATAACAACACCTGGTATAGCAACACCAGCTATTAATGCAATTATCACTGGTGCACCAATTAATGTAGCTACTTGCCAAAGAATAACTTTTTTTCTACTCCATTGTTTTTTACCCCAAAATGTACAACCCGATGGACTATAAAAACAAAAAACCAAATAAACGAAATTTAAGAAATTCAATAATTGTATTAACCTAAGATAATGTAAATCAGATATTTCTCGACCACATAACCAACAAAATTCAGCTTCACATATAGGACAAGTCATATGATTCTAAAACAGAAAAGAATAAGACTTTCAAAAACAAAAAAAACCAAGATTCTTATGAAAACATACGCAAGAACCATCGTCCATTTTAAATATCGATGCTTGACATCTTGGACATTGTTTTATTTCATCTTCTATAAAAAAAAAAAAAAAAAGAAAACAACAATGATTTTTCTTTCATTTTATAATTAATTAATATCATACTTTGTTGAGCAGAAGCAAGACTAATAAATGAACCTGAACGAAGTTTAGTTGATGTTTTTTCACGTGCTGCATCTTCACATGTTTTATTTGGATGCCATGTTGCTTTACAATGATAACAAAATGATGTATTACATCCTGGTCGTAAACATTGAATTTCTGGACATGATGCATAACCTGAAGCTATAACAGCAAATCCACAATCAGGTGCTGGACACCAACGTGTATCAGATATTGATTGTAAAACACGTCGTACCATAAATTGTTCATATTTTGATATAAGATCAGGATTATTTTCTAATATTCGTGATATATCACATGGATGTATACGTTCTGGACAATCATTATGTGGACAATTAAGTGTAATACGACCTTCACTTATTTCTAATTTTAAATAACTTTTAAAACATGTTTGACAATATGAATGTGAACATAATGTTAAATGTTCAAATTGTTCAGATGAATAATCATGATAACATAATAAACAAGTTTCAAGTAAATGATCATTTGAAGTTGTTGTTGATGGAATTATATTAATAACATTTTCATTTGCTGATGCAACAATTGATTCAATAATTTCATCTTTTATTGATATTATAGAATTTTTATCATGTATTGGTTGTGATGATGATGTTAAAGAATAAATTTGTTGTTTTGAAGATTGACAAGAATTATTTGTTGTAGATGTATTTCGTTGATGTGAAAAACGAGTTGTTGTTGTTGTTGATGATGATGCACGACTAGTCGTAAAACGAAGTAGATTCAGAAAACGTCGACGTAAACTACCATTGCTATTATTTGATGTTGTATTTGAATTTGAAGATTCTTAATAAAAAAAAACAAAATATTTAATTTATTATCTTGTTCTTTTTTTGTTTTTAATTTCATACTTTGAGTTATGACTTGTATAGATGTATCTGTTACTATCGATGATTGATCTTTGGTTAATGTAAGGGATGAATCATTATTAGTTGTACGTTTTAATGACGAACGTTTGCTAATAGATGATGACGATGATGATGACTGTTGATTACGTTTTTTTGAGAGCATTATTGATGATAATAACTAAAGACAAGAAGAAAAAAAAAACATTTATTTTTTGTTAATTTTAGCATATGAGATTTTCTAAAGAGTTTTCTTTTTCGATAGATTAATAAAATGGAAAAAAAAGTATCTACATTCTATGTAACTGAAAAAAATTTAAATTGTTCTAAGTCAATATTTGTAAAAATAAAATGAAAAACAATTCGATCGACAAAGACTAGTTAAACATTTGGTACTTTTTTTTTTTTATAACTAAAACAAAAACAAATAATCAATAATTACTTTAGTTTTAATTGTTATTCATTTGGCATCATAGAAAAAAAATGTAATTGTATATTTCACTATTTCTTTAAAAACTAATATAATAATCTACCCATGAAAAAAGTATATATCTAGAATAAAGAATCTTACTCATCTGTAATGTTTATCAATGCTTTGATTCTCGTTTATATTTTCAATCCATAGAATGCATGAAGAATGTGAGAACTTATCTCATACTTTTTCTTTTTTATTATATTTCCCACAGAAGTGGGACAAATCTCACACGTTTTTTTTTTTTGCTCTGCTTTAATTCGAATGATTCAATGCAATCAAGTGTGGAATAGATTAATAAGCCCGTAGTGGAGAAAAGAACAGAAAAAAAAAGGCGTTGCAACTTATTTTGTTTTTAAACAATAGAATCGTTCGTGTTGTTTTTTTTTTTTTATTTATATCTAATATTAAATAACCAATGAGAAATGAATTTGTATTTGATTGGTATAAAAAAAATAACCAATGAAATCGAATGAAATCTTGAGGTTTTTGTTTGAGAAAATATTCGATTTGAATTGATTTAATCTTTAAAAACTAATAGAAGAAGACAAAAAAAAATGCTCGGTTGTTGTATACCTCGTGATCCATCGAAACAAACAAATAAAATAATAAATGAAGCATTAGAACGTGCTCGAAAAGAAATGAATTCAGAATCAAAATTACTTTTACTTGGTAATTAAATAAAAAAAAAAAAAAATTGTTTTTCTTATAAAATTTAATCAATATATATATAAAAAATTATGATCGTTATTTTAGTTAATAAATTTTCGAAAAATAAATTCTAATAAGTATGTTTTGCTTAACAGATAATTAAACATTTTATT